AACCACTCACATACACAAGCTATCAGTGATTATTATCCACATGACACTGGTCTCCTCACAGGTTTCCATGAAGCTGTCGGTGACGTCATGGCCTTGTCGGTTCAAACCCGGAACACATGAAACAGCTGGGTCTTATCGATGAGGTGCCTTCGGACGACGGTAACTGTCTATATCAGAATGTATTATTAATGGCCGTCTTTGGAAATGGGTATCTTTACACTTTCAGTCTCAAATAATCACCAGGTGTTTCAAGATCTGCTCAAAGATAATATAATTTATTAGCTGTGTCTTCTGTCACAGAAGAATTTTTTTTTTCAAGTTGTTATTATCTTGATTTCTATATAGTTTTAATTTCTCATGTCCCACGGTGCCTATGTTAAATTTCTTTGAAGCAAATTATTTAATACTTTCAAGCGAAACATTTTGGGGTAAAAGGAGTTAAGTTAACAACCTGACTGGGATATATATATTTATATATATACAAGTTACAAGACGAGGCATACTTTTTATAATTTATATCAAACTTTTAAGGCTTTCATTTGAGGTCCTTTGAAAATCAACTTTATGTTCAAGCCTAGCACAGTATAACTGGGAGCCTGAATGGTAGAGGCACTGCGCTCAATTGTTGCAGGACTAGTACACTGCACATAAAGTTACCTAGACAGCTGGGTTAGGTATCTGCATACAGACTTGAACATTAGAGGTTCTATATTCACATGCAAGTTCGCTAAATGTTTACATGCTCTTGTTTTGTGTGCAAATCAGTACCAATTCATTTGTTTATTGATCTGTTCCAGAGAGTGACATTAATTTCTTAATGAGCATGGCGCTGCAGAAAGTGGCCTTTCTTCCCTTCGGATACCTCATCGACCAATGGCGGTGGTCGGTCTTCAGTGGGCAGACAACTCCTGCAACATACAACAAGGACTGGTGGGACCTCAGGTGGGCTGTTACTTCCTCTGTGAGAATTGTGTCTTGCAATGTTTCGTTTGGAAGCTATAACAAACACATACTGGGTACCATAGGCGCCTGAACCTGTGGGCTAAGGAACATTGAGTCTCCCACCCTCACCCCCCAACTCCCCCTAACCAAAAACACATTTTAGAGCTAAAAACAGCCATTTTAGAGCTAGGTTACTTCTCAGCCTAATGTCTGTTACTTCTCAGCCTAATGTCTGTTACTTAACTATGTTTTTGTTATTCGGCACATAAGATTAATAATTAATAATAGTAATTATTATTATTGCCAATTTAAACAGGCTTACGTTTCCTGATTGCCCCTCCCCCCCCCCCCTCGAAAATCATAATGCGACTCAGCCCGCCCCCCCAACTCCCATGATGTATTTGTATCAGCGCCCCTGCTAGGCGGTTTCTTTTAGTGGCAGTAAGTACTGTCAAAGCTAACGTGATTTATCATCATCGTTTTCTTTATTTTTATTATTATTATTATTATTATTATCATCATTGTCATTATTAATATTATTATTATTATTATTATTATTTTGTCATCATCATCATAATATTACTTTGCAAAGAAAAGACAACTGGATCATGAACCACCATTGAGGTACTTAGTCCGCCATTGCCGGTCCTAAGCCTGAATGAGAAAGGAGGAGGGTTGCGCTTGGGGCCAACTCTCCCACCCTGAAAGTAACAGACACGGGAAAAAGAATTCAAGATAAGTAAAGAAAAAGAGAAATGTCTAGGTAACCACTAATATCGACAGTTACGAGACAGATAAGACGGTGTTATAGTTGACATTTACAAGATGGCGCTATATTGGACATGTTATGAAACAGACAGAATCAACAGTCACTGAAATGGAAAATAAAGGGATATGACGTCCAAGAGAAACCAACAGGCGAACGTTGATGAGAGAAGCCAAAGGTGCTAGACTTGATTCCATCCATGATATCGAAGTGACAGCACAGGTTATAACAGAGTGTAGACATAGACTACGAGCTCTATGTGAACTTCAGTGGTACAACAGGAAAATGACTGAATAAATGGACCGTGGAGAGTCAGCAGATTAGTCAGTCATTATCTGGAAGCTATCAAGATGTCATCATTGGTCACTAGAAATGTCACAAAAGTTTAGAGAGAACCATAATGGAGTGGTTTATGCCTGGGGAGAGAGGAAGAGGAAGAAAAAAGAGCAGATGGATGCAGGATGGGGCGGATGATCTCTAAATGGGTGTATCAGACGCGGGACATGTTGCTTGTGATCAAGAAGTTTTCCGGAAGGTTGTTATGGGAGCGAGCTTCTGCAAAGGACATTTTACTGACTGATTCAGTCAAGATGTAGTTTAATAGAAAAATGCTGAGAACATCAGGAACATATTTTTGAAAAGCAGAGGATACTATGAAAGAAATTAACTCATAAAGAGACAAGTTACAATTGTAGGAATCATAAATGGCACAAAGAATCAATAATAATAGCAGTCTTTATCTGATGTGATTTGATTTGATTCAAGAACCGACATCACAGCACTCAGGGGCATTTCCATAAGCGCTCCGTCCCCATCTTCAGCAGCCAGCGAAGAGTTCCGATACTAATGGTGCCAGTAGGATTCTCATTAAACTTCCGTCTTGCCTTTCTTCTGAGCCTCGAGCATCTGCCGGAACCTTTCATCACTTCCCTCTGCATCAATCTCACCACACTGTGGTGATCAATCTGCTCCTCCGAATTGTACACGCTCTCCCACAAGGCACTAACCACGTCTGTGCAAAGCCAGCCAGTCTGTCCGCCTGTTCATTTCCCAACACACCGGCGTGCCCTGGTGAAAAAAAGGCAGACAATACTCCTCATCCAGTTTGTATTATGATTAATGAACACAGTAATGGCATTAAAGTGAATGCTGTGTTGTAGATGTCATCTACAAGGGATTTCACCTCCTGTGGCGCGGTCAGAAGATGACTTTGACCCTGGTGCGAAATATCATGTTCCAGCTGCTGTACCCTACATCAGGTTTGACATTTGTTTATTGTATCATGCCACATAGCTGAACATTCTACTAAACTTATCGCACTGTCTGCCTGAACTTTCCACTGAACTTATTATCCTTTTGTGTATCTGAACTTTCTACTGAGGTGATAACACACAGCCACACTTGCGGTGGTATCTGCTGAGGTTTGTTGCTGTCTACTTCTAAACATCAGGTATGTGGCACATACTTCTACTATTAACCACTGTCTGTTCTGTGAAACATATATTTTTCAAATCATCATCAGACTGTGCCATTTATAAATCATACAGGACTTGCAGTCTAATCCTCTATTTCTGTCTAACCTCTGCAATCTGTTTGATATCCTGGATGGCACCCAGTCCTACAATTTTGGACACGCTGATCAATTAACGCTCCTTGTAATGTTACTTTTGGACCTCATCATTTGCCCGGTCCCTTTGTTTCCTATTTCTCTGCCTGTTCTGTGATTCTCTGCTTACTTCATTTCATGATGTGCCCAATATAGCAAGCACTCTCTTCTTTGCTTTATAACCCTTGATGCCAACAATTTCCCAGAAATGTCTCTTATTTCTTAATTTTTCATGCTATTTAATGTTTATCAATTCCCTCAGGCATTTGTTTCAAATGCCATTTAACTTTCCTTACATGTCATTAGTTCGCAAATACGTACCACTGTTTATCTCTGTCATATCTGTGTTGTTTTATGTAATACGACTTCACAAATACTCGTTACCTTTTTACCCACGTCTTGCTCCATGCATTCATCCCAGAAATACCCGCTAGCATTTAAAATAATCTTGTTCTTTAAAAATAGGTGGGTCAAAAACTTACTACCAATTATTCATGTAATGTACTATGATATCATCATCATCGTCAAGTGCCTTGTCGACTAGCGTGGGTGATTATGCCTCTCCACAATGTGCGATCTGCAACTGGGTGTATCAGTTCATGTGCTGACACCCCTCCATGCCATGACAAAAGAATATTTAAAAATCTTCTCACACTGTTTTCCTCTGTCTCTCTTTCCACAGATCTTTCCTGTGGTCACAACATGCTCCATTTTCCCCCTTCTCACGTGTCTAAAAAAAATGATGACTGTCTTCTTCTGATGTTTGTGATAAGTTGTCTTCAAGCATCGGCCTCTTTCAAAACATCTGGGTTGCTCTTCTTGGCTGTCCAAGACATTCTAGGGACTCTTCTATTCTCTACTAGAGAAACTCAAAACCGCCAGCTTCTTATTTTACTTTTTTTTTAATTTAAACAATGAGGATATTTTTTGTTTCTATACAATATGCCACTCCACAAATAATCACTGTTTTTTTTTTTTTTTTAATACAAGTATTCCGAACATACTTGCTGCCATTAATTTGTGTGTTTTGTCCTATACAACAGGTACTTTGTGAGTTTCATCATTCAGTTCCAATTCCACCAAGCTGCCTGTCAAGCTGCTGGTTATGTTGGACCCTTACACAGATGTGATATTTACAACAACGAAGAGGCTGGACGTAAGCTCAGGTATGGGAAACGATATCAGACTGTAGCAGAAACATGAGCTCAGGTATGAGAAATTATGTCAGTCTGTAGCAGGGACATAAGCTCAGGTATGAGAAACGATGTCACTCTATAGAAAGTAAATACATGCTGTGTATTTCTTTGCATTTACTGGCTGTAAACCCCAAACGAATGTTTTGGTTGTTCATCCACTTATAGACGTTGGTCTTGTTCAAGAACTTGAGTTTTGCATGCACGTCCATTTTCCAGATCTGACTTATTTGTATGCAGATTGTTGGTACCTTCGCCTGTAGCTGAAGGTGAAAAGAACTTGAAATCTTCGGTAAGTGGTGTTTTTGTAGGGTACAAAGAGTGTGCGCTAAACAGAACGGGAATCAAATGATGAAATTCTTAAACATGCGAGGTTAGACTCCTAACTCTTGACCCATTTGCTCAAATACAAGCACGACTGTTTGGACCTAGAAATCAAAACACGACTCTTTACTATTACATTTCTACTGCCTTTCATCTTCCAATGGAGTACGGGCATTCAGTTATATTGTGCCTGTTTGTTTGAAGACTAGAAGCACAGCAGGAGCATTGACACAAATAATAATAACACACTTCAGAGGATGGGGAGGAAGTTTATAAGCAACATGAGAACTAATATTAATAATGATAATAAAAATAATAATTATTATAATCATGGTACTTTTCTTTCTGTTCACCCAATCTTGAACACTCCAAGATCTTGTGAAGAGTTCCCGGGAAAGTCCAATATTATGAAGGGGAGTGTAGGCTTAGAGTTAGTCAGTGTTATTTCACACTTTAACACCCCTATACTTTTGGATTTTCCCAGAACTCTCCACCAAATCTTAGAGTCCCTGAGATAGGTGAATTAAAAGAAAAATACTATAATAATAATAACATGTGTTAAACAGTAAATTAAATATAATAATATGTTTATTCTTTTATTTTATCCGGGAACGTCCAATCCCCTCTATAATATTTGACTCCTCATGAAATCTTGGAGCCCCTGAGATGGGGTGAAATAAATGAAAAGAACCAATATGTTTAAATAATTTGAAATGTTTTGTGTGGTTTTTTTTTGGGGGGGGGGGGGGGGGGTTGTCACTTAACTCTTTTGAGCATGTTTTAACGGCAGGGTGGGGTGAGGTGGCTTTCATTACTGAGTAGTTATTAACATTATATTAACATTTTTCTATACAGGGCGATGTTAAAACTTGGATCATCTAAACCCTGGCCAGAAGCCATGAAACAAATAACCGGTCAAGAAAAGATGAATGCAGAACCACTGCTGGAATATTTTAAGCCTTTGCTGGACTTTCTTCGTACAGAAAATGGCAACGACTACGGCTGGGACCCCAACTGTCCAGTCCCGTCAAAATAAAGATAGGAAGTACAGGGCCAGAACTAGGACTTGTTCTTAGATCTCAGAAAACTTAAATCAATGTTATTGTTCACAGCTCACAGACTTTAATGATCACAACGGGTAGAGAAGTGTGCTGGTATATGTAGTCACAGGGGACACTGTACATCAGTGTTATAGAAACCCCACCGACCTTCCACTCTCTCTCTCTCTCTCTATCTCTCTCTATTTTTCTGTGTGTGTGTGTGTATGCATGTGTGCGTCCGCACACGTGTGTGTGTGTGTGTTTTTTATCTTCCTCTACCCTCACACATTAATTTCTGAGAGTATTTTTCTTACTCTTATAGTCCATGCTATGCTGCATTGGTAGTCAAGCCATTTTCCTCAACCTACTTTCTTTGTATTTAATATCTTTTAAGCACCTAAGTAATATTGAGTATTTTTAATCTGACAAAATACCATGTTGTATCACACTTTGCTGTAGTGGTTAGCTATTTGTTGTGTTTTAATATAATGTGTGTGTGTGTGTGTGAGAGAGAGAGAGAGAGAGAGAGAGAGAGAGAGAGAGAGAGAGAGAGAGAGAGAGAGAGAAAGAGACAGGCAAGAGAGAGAGACAAATTAAGTAGCAGAGAGATAGCATGAAAACATAAAATAAAATTATTGAAACAGTATGATTACTTGCTTCCATGTGACTGCATATTCCAGGTTTTAGATGAGTCACTGTTTCAGGAAAGGAAAGGGTTGCACCGATGCATAATTTACACTAAGACAAGCTTGCAAGAAAACCACTGAATATATTACATTGGTCAGTGGCGTACCTCATTATCCCCTCATTAGTTAATATTGACATAATAATATTACCATATTAACCAGGGTTGTACTTTATCACAAGCTTACTATCGAATAACAGTTTTATGTTCGCAAATCTTAGTGCCTAACAGCAAATATAGCATTATTATTATTATATACCCAGCTGACCGCACGCCTTAATATGGGCCTTCAATAGGCCTTCAATAAGCCTTCCATAGGCCTTCAGTCAACTCTTGTTCTGTCTTAGCAGCTTCCTCCACAGATCTTCGTCACTGTCTGTAATACACTATCTCATGTATTTTAGTTCGTTTATTCTGTGAGTCCAGGAAAAGAAGTCATTCTAGTGCCACTATTTTTCTAGACCTTTTGATTCACTTGCAGTTTGTAAATATCCGTTGCTTAAAACAGAATATATCAAAGATAGCTGACAAATAAAAGATTAAGTTATTTGTTATCTTCCTTGTTGTCTGTAAAGAAGAATTTGTTGTGTTATCACACACTGACATGTGTATTTGAGCGTTTGTTTCACTGTCAGGCTCTGTGCAAATTTGGTCTAACAATCAGTTGGGAAAAAAACAGAAGACAAAGGTTATAGTGCAAGGTGTTTATGATAGGCTAATAGTCTACATTGACGGTAAAGATCTGGAGACAGTTGACCATTTTACCTACCTGGAATCCACAGTGAATAAAAAAACAACTGTCACTGGCCCAAGAAATCAACATCAGGATAGGTAAGGCAGCAACAACAATGAGCAGATTAACAAAAAAGATTTTGGGAGAACAGAAAGTTCAACACTAAAACAAAAACTCTTGTCCATCAGGCTTGTTTTCTCAGCACTTTGCTTCATGGCAGTGAATTTAGGTCAACAAGTTCGCACCAGGAAAGATGGCTAAAAAGCTTTCAGGTACGATGCGTAAGAAGAATACTTGGCATTATGTGGTAGGACAAAAATTTTTAAAAAAACACTCAGATCCTGGAAAAACCAGGTACTACAACAGTCTTCTCAGTGCGCAGCCTACGAAGACTTAGATGGCTGCGTCACACCTGGAGAATGGAGAATGACAGAGTCCCTAAGGACATTCTCTATGGTGAATTAAAGACAGGTAGAAGATGTCAAGGCTGACCTCTATTACGATATAAAGATGTTTGCAAGCGGGACATGAATGATACATGTATTGAGGTGTATTCCATAGTTGTGGATTTCAAGCTGGCCAATAAGACACCTTTTTTGGAGGTGCCTAGTTGACCATGCACTTGTTTCCATAACGAGGTGCACACATCGTCTGAAGGTGAGGGGTTCGATTTTCCTGCACGTTAACTATAAAAAGTAAAGATCCCTTTTCACGCCTTTCGGCGCATCGGGCATATGGGCAGAGCGTCCCATATTTTTACAGACCATCAGCACGTTAACTATAGCTTTTGATTTTTATGTTGTCTAGTGTGTTCTTCTATCTTTCTACTTCCTTTCTATGAGTGCCGATCAATAAATTTTCTGTTACTTGGTAAGGCAATGAGGTGGATTCGTCGAAACACTATACCATGGACTGTGTTGTGTGGAGGGGGTACATCAGGAAGGGATTGGGAATGAAGGAAGAAATGATTGCTGGAAGGATGAGAGCTGAGCATTTGAGAAGACTAAACACTAATGTTGACAGCAACAGTCCTGAAATCCTTTGCTATAATTATGGAAGACTTTTCCTAACACAGGCAGGTCTTGCTAGTCACACTCACCATCGCCATGGGCTGTGAGTCTCATGCCTCCTCCAATATAACACTATCGTTTTAAAAGACAGAAAGATGACAATCAAGCCCTGTGTTACTACTGCTATGACAAAAGAGGACAAAAGTGTCTCCCGGCTCAGTTTAAAATATGCAGACAGAAGGATATGGTGATAATGAGTAAGGCGTATGACCGCACCCAGGAGTGAAGGGTAGGGTTTGAGGCCCTATAGGTTGTGACATAAAGCAACCATACTTTGAATAATATAATGATTGGTAAAACAGATTATAAGTGTGCTTTTCAAATATTTGGAATGGTCACAATATTGATGTCAAGATGCCTTGAAAATTTTACAAAATACACTTTTACGGCTAAAAAATAAAAACTTCTGGCAAGTTGGAAAATATTCACAAATATAAAAAGTTCAACTGCAATGAGAATATGTGTGTTAAATTCAAAGTTGAAAGGATCGACTTCAATGCAGGTAATCCCATGTGGCTCAGTCTTTTCTGCAGAATGGTTAGTCTGCAAGTCAAAACAGCATACAGTACACACACACTGTAGCCCCAGCAGCTACCCTCATGAATGTCTACAGAATTTACATTCATGAACTGAACAAAATGTCTGCTTCAGAGCACAAGGCGAATGGATCGACCACTTCACCATAGAGATCTCCCGAAAAAGTTTGTGGAAGTGCTGAATGAAATCTGTACTGCTGGCCTCTGTGCTGACAGACTAAAAAACTGCTTAAATGTGGTTTCTAGGACAAATGTTAAGAGAAAGAAAGAAAGAAAGAAAGAAAGAAAGAAAGAAAAGAAAGAAAGAAAGGAAAGAAAGAAAGAAAGAAAGAAAGAAAGAGAAGAAAGAAAGAAAGAAGAAAGAAAGAAAGAAAGAAAGAAAGAAAGAAAGAAAGAAAGAAAGAAAGAAAGAAAGAAAGAAAGAAAAGAAAGAAAGAAAGAAAGAAAGAAAGAAAGAAAGAAAAGAAAGAAGAAAAAGAAGAAAGAAAGAAAAAGAAAGAAAGAAAAGAAAGAAAGAAAGAAAGAAAGAAAGAAAGAAAGAAAGAAAGAAAGAAAGAAAGAAAGAAAGAAAGAAAGAAAGAAAGAAAGAAAGAAAGAAAGAAAGAAAGAAAGAAAGAGAGAGAGAGAATAATAAAAATAAAAAGGGATAGAAAAGATAAGGCAGGTGAAAACTATCAATGGTTTCCACATCATGTCCTCTGAAGACCTTTGTTCAGGTCAGGTACCAGTAAAACAGAACAAATTGTTTTTTTTCTTTAAATAGATTATGCATTTTATTGCTGCTTCTCATTCTGCATTGTGAACAGTGGCTTCAATTCTAGTCCCTTCAAATAGTAACATAAATGTCTGTGTATAAGTTGAGTTTTCTTCTTTCTTCTTTGGGTTTACCAGTTGTAAACTCTGGTGGAAAGTTATGGGTGGTCGCCCACTTCTGGACTGCATTCCTGTTCCAGAACCTGAGTGTTGCGTGTGCATCCATTTGACAGATCTGAGACATTTTGTGCAGACTGTTGGTTCCTTACCTCTCAGGCAGATGCACTTCAAAGGAAGCTCGCACTTCAAAGGAAGCTCCCAATTAGTCAACTCTTACGACATGCTTTTGGGTAGGCAGTGGGTCTATTCTTGTTTTCCCTATATCAGGGCCCCGAAACCCAATGAAGGGAGGGGCGGTGTGAGTTTTAAAGTCTAGTCTTTTCAAAACTACGGGTCAACTTATCTGGCGGGTATAAACTGCATTAGGTAGTTGCAGGCCTAATTAAGATTTTTTTAGATAAAAAAATCATGAGGTCGACTTGTACTCCACAATTTAGTGTAGTTTAAATTAACTGGTCAGTTCAAGTAAACAAAGACTGCTTGTAAAACATAATAATGTGCCGCAAATGAAAGGAAGCATTTTAAAAATCAACAGTACCACATCTAAGGTTAACAATATGAGCAATGTTTACATGCATACCCAAGTCAAGACTGTCAAAATGTTAGCATTTCACAAGTATTACATATGTAACAGACTTTAAAATAATATCTAAAAATTGCATGAAACTACTACCTACTACATCTATTACTAGCAGTCTATAATTCTGTTAATAACAAGTTATAAAATGTAAGAAGAGCAGCTTAAGAATGTAAGTAACAAAGTACAATGGCAATAAAAATTGCATCAATATGTCAAAACTATTTATAAAAATGTTGCTTACTATGCATCAACTTACTGTCAGTAACTTAGTATAAATATATCATTATCTACACATATATTTGTTAGCAACAATATATAAAACTGGCTCTAAATAATTAATGTCAGTTGAAATTTATAAATCTTCCTTGACTAACAACTCCAAATTTTGTCAGTTAATTTACAAATTTGTAATCAGCAATGCATAGATTTATAACAAAATTACTATAAGGATACCTGTGAATGTCAGAATTAATACAGATCATTACTTACTGAAGTGTAGAAAATATCCACACACACACA